AGAGAGAGAGAGAGAGAGAGAGAGAGATGTACAGAGAGTGGGCAGGGCTCACAGCACAGCCTCAGCCCCTTCCCAGCCATGTGGCTCTGGACTCTGGATTCTCCTCAACAGATAGATAACAAATGTCCTGCAATCAGGACAGGGTGGGGCATTGGATAAAGGGGTAGGTTCCAGGACAACACTTCTCAAGAGCCACTTTCTTTCGAGGCAGCAAAGGTCCTTGGGCTTCCTGTCCAGTGGGAGACAACGTTCCAGTAGACCCAGACAACTGAGGCATGACATATAATGTGATTTCCCAGCCCTCAGAACTAGACAAGGATGAGCCCAGGCCTCCAACTCCTGCTCCTAGACAGATGCAGCAAGAGATTAACAAGGCAGACACACTGAAAACAAACATCCTTGATAACAACAGGGCCAGGCCAACAACAAGGAAGGAGAGGCTGGGGATAGGGGACAGGGAGGGGATAAAAGTCCAGAGCCCAATATCTCTCACAGCACTCACACTCACACACTCACACTCCCACACACCTCCTGCATCCTAACCTTACCATGGCTGCCTCCACCATGTCCATCTGCTCCAGCACTTACACTGAGCCCTGGCAGGTGGATGACTGCCCAGAGAGCTGTTGTGAGCCCACCTGCTGCACCTCCAGCTGCTGCCAACCCAGCTGCTGTGCCTCAGCTCCCTGCCTGAGCCTTGTTTGTACCCCAGTGAGCTGTGAATCCAGCCCATGCTGCCAGCCGGCTTGCTGTTCTTCGTCCTGCCAACAATCCTGCTGCTGTGTGCCCACCTGCTGCACACCCGTCTGCTGCAAGCCTGTCTGCTGCACAACTGTCTGCTGCACACCTGCCTGCTGCACACCTGTCTGCTGCAAGCCTGTCTGCTGTACACCTGTCTGCTGTACACCCATCTGCTCTGGTGCCTCCTCCTCCTCCTCCTGCTGCCAGCCAGCTTGCTGCTCCTGCTCCCCCTGCCAGCCATCCTGTTGTGTATCTGTCTGCTGCAAGCCCATCTGCTGCACACCCTCCTGCTCTTCCACATCCCTGCTCTGCCGCCCTGTGTGCAGACCCTCCTGCTGCATGCCTGTCTCCTCTTGTTGCACCTCCTCCTGCCAGCCCAGTTGCTGCATCCCGACCTCTTCCATGTCCCTGCTCTGTCACCCTACCTGCTCCCGCCCTGCCTGCTGTGGCCTCTCCTTGGGCCAGAAGTCCTGCTGCTGAAAGGGCACTTGGAAGTTCACTGCCCCTAACTCCTAGCTTTTTTACTATATCATCACAGTGGCCACAGTCCCACTCTCGGGCCTTTCTATGAATATAGTGGTCACCTATCATCCGCTTCTGTAGGAATAGCCCTGTCTAAGTGTAACGTCCTCACTCAACAGTCCTGGCCCTCCCTGAGTGGTGGGTGGTGACCCTCTGATGTGGCTGGACATGGCTTGGAGTCCTGGCTACAGACAAGCCAGGATCGGGACACGGATGGATCTGTTTCTCAGTGCCATCCCCTAGGCCCAGAAGAGGTGTCTTCCATTGCCCTGGGGAGCCCAGCTCTTCCTCTAGGCTCTGTACCTCTACCCTCATCTTTCCAATAAATTTCTTTCCTGGTGCCTCTGACTTGCTCATTCCTGTGCTGGTCCTTCGGTTGCCCAGTACTTGCTAACCTGGCCAACTCCTGTGAGCCACTCCTCTGTTCCCTTAACTGTGTCCTGAAAGTCTGCCACGCTGGCCATGGGCATGTCCCTCAAAGGGACACACGATACTGACAGCCTATGGCTCAGGGTGACTCTCTGAAAAGCTGTCAGGCCTTGTAAGAAAGAAAGACCACACTTTGCTGGCACCTGGGAACTTGGACTTCAGAAAGTTCTTGGAAGCACTTCTTTCCTTTTGGGCAACTGGGGTTTGGGGACTTGCTGGGGGAGGTGCCTCCAGTGGATGACACCTCACAGGCCACTGCTCCTCCCTGAGGAAGTTGACCCATCCTGCAGCTCTCTCCAAGAGGGACTTGAGAAGATATGCCCCCTCCCCTGGTCTTGATCCATACTCCAGCTCTGCTGGGGTACTATCTTTCTAGGCTTGAGGGCCAGCAGGCTCAGCCTCCAGCAGTGACGTAAAGCCATAGCACCATGTCAGTCTGCATGCATGGGTATCTTCCTGCCAGCCCATAGCTTCCTGGAGCCCCTCTGCTCTCTCTTCTGCCACAGTACCTTGGGGACATGCATGGATAAAAAGTCCAGCAGGCAGAGGGTTCACTGTGTTCTGGAGAGAGACAGGAAGAAGAGCAACAGCTCTGGGTCTTACGGCACAGAGATGTCCACTCTGGTTGGTTTGGTGGCTGACAGTGAGCAGTGACCTTCATTAACACCACATGACTAATGAAGGACTTAGATTCTGAATTTGTGATGAACAAATGAATAGAAGAAGCACATTACAGAGTGGGTACCCTCTAGTCAAGTGCCACACAACAAGCACACTGGTCCCCAAGATGAAGGAAGTGTGAATTAAAATGAGGAGGGGACTCAGAAATGGCCCTGTCTCTTGGTACCAGGCTGCTCTGGCTGTGGGCAAGCATGTCCACTGCCTGGAGCAGGCTGGTAACATGGGAAGCAGCCCCATGGGAATCCCTCTTTCTGGCCTGCACTCCTGGGAAAGCCATCAGTGTGTTCCAGAGAGGACTGCAAGTCACCCGGCATCTTCCCTGGAAGTGCTCCTGGTGCAGATCCTCGCCTGCCAGGCCACCATTCGGGGAGGGGACGGCGGGTCACAGAGCACCCCACAGAGGACGGGTGCGGGTGATGGGAGGGTCTGAGTCAGAGAAAGGGGTCAGAGTGGGGTTGAGGAGCAGTGTGGAGTGAAAGCTAGTCACGTTGCGGGTGGGAACACGTAGGATAATACAGACATGAAGGTTCAAACTTGTAAAGCCACACTCCGTCTCTCGGCTGCTGACACCTCTATTAACACTACGAGTCTCAGCCCCTGGGGCTCTGAGAAGGACACTTCATGTAGTGGTTCCCAGACACACAGGGTGTCCCCATGACACTGGCCGATGTGTCCCCGGCCAAGGTGGGTAGTGGGCATGGGCGCTTGCTTTACTATCATCTGTGCTTTTCTATTGCTAAAAAGAAACAATGTTATGCTAACTGCATCCTGAGCCTGAGAAGAATGTGTGGCAAGCAGAGAAAGGCTTCCTTCTGGAAATCTGAGGTGCTCTCCCCAGCAGACGGGAAAATTAAGAGGAACCCAGACTCTTAGGAAATGAGCAAGCAGCACTATATCTTGGAGCCTGTGGGGTTCGTGTAAGCAGTATTCTGAGAAAAACTCAATTCTCAAAGACAAATAGTAGAAAACAAACAAGGTTGATAATAACTAGACTTCAAATCAGAAAATTATGAACATTCCCCCAAAAGAAATTAACAAAAAGGACCTAACCAATTAGGACACAAATGAACACTTTTAAAAAGGTCTATAAGGGCCAGCCAGATAGCTCTTTGGGCTAAAGCACCTGCTTAGGCAGACACAGGGACCAGGGTTCGATCCCCATGGCATGTTGGTCCCACCCCTGGGACGTGCTGAGATGGTGACTGAGACTGGGCATGGTGGCGCGTGCCAGTAATCACAGCACTTGGGAGTCTGAAAACAAGAGAATCAGTATGAGAATGATCTGTGTAGTGAGATGCTTAGACCCTGTACTAAATGCATTAAAAAAGAAATAAGTAAAAAATAAAAAGGTCTATTAAAAATAAGAATGTTGACAAATCTAAGAGAATTAACAAAAATTAAATATATTGAAATAAAATAACAGTATTTTGTAGAAAATCTGAACAAGTTATTTCAATTGGTACATGTTGTAGATAAAGAAAATTTTAAATTATGAGAAAAAGTTTATTTATTCATTTGTTTATTTATTTACTTATTTATTTATTGGCCTGCTCAGCCCACCCTCGGGGTGGGGCTGGCACAGCATGTGTTGTGGAGGATCTAACCGTGGTCCCCTGTGCCTTCCTAAACTTGCCTAAGCAGGCACTTTAGACCGCTGAGTTTGCCAGCCCCAGAAAAAATTTATTGTTGTACACAACTAAATTATAGACAAAAAGGATAAATTTGTGGGAAAATACCGATCACTGAAACTGGTGCAAAAAAGGGTAGAAAACTTGAATGGGTAGAGGGTCGTAGAGAAACCTGAATAGAAAGGGCTGCCCTGTGGCTTAAATACCATGCTCAGAACCTCGGCAGGCAGACAGGCATGTAAGCCAGAGAGGCCCAGGAGCGAGGTCTCGGGTGCAAAGGTGCATGTCACCTCACTCACAATCAGGGTGCCATTGCTGAGAGTGTCTGAGTGGGGACAAGAGGCATCTGTACAGGAGAGGGTGCTCTCGGCTTCTGCCTCCCTGTGCATAAAAGTCATCCTGTGTGCAAAAGACAGTGGTCTCTATGCAAGGTTGGGACATCAGCAAAAGGGCGGTTTCCCTCCCTTCTTCCCTCCTTGGATGCCTTTCCTCTTTTCCTGCCCCCCACTGGGGCACAGAGCTCAAGCCCCATATGGAGTGGAGGCAGGGAGTGTGCACCTTCGTCTTACCCCTGGTAATGAGGAAAAGGTGCTGCCTTTATTCCACTGAAGACATCAGTGACCATCTTGTATGTGGCCTGTTTTTGAGGAATTTGGGGGGTCACATGGATCCATTCCTCAGTAACACATTTTTTTCATCTCTATATGCCAAATCACTCTTATATCAATGAAATAAAATCTCATTTGATCATGGTGAATGACCTTTTTCATACATGGTTAGATTCAGGTTGCTGGTATTTTGTTGAGAATTTTTGCAACTATATTCATGAGGAATAGTGGCATATGATTTTCTTTCCTTGTAAAGATTTCACCAAAAAAACTGTTGAGCGAGGGTGTGGCTCAGTGGTAAAATAATTGCCTGGCATGCTGAAGGGCCTTGGTTCAACTCCCACTATTACCAATTAACAAACCAATGAAACAAGAGCCTGTTAGCACTCATAAACACATCCAATAAAGTGGCAGGTTACAAAATCAGCGTACAAAAATCAGTAGCATTTCTATACACTTAACAGCAGACTATCCAAAACAGAAATTAAGAGATCAGTCTTAATTATGATAGTATAAAAATACTTAACCAAGTAAATATTTAACCAATAAATTTAAACAAGGATATAAAAGATCTGTACACTGAAAATTATCAATATTGATGAAATAGATAGATGTCCAATGTTCATGAACTGGACATTAAATATCATTGAAATGTCTATGCTACTCAAAGGGATCTACAGATTCAAAGTGAAGCCGATGGGCCCTTCCCACTGAAGTTTTCTGAGGCTCTGAGACAGTGGGAAGGGCCCCTCTTGCCCTACATGCAACAGTGAGCCACAGAGAGCCTCAGCGCAGGGTGTCTCTTCTAAACCCGTACTGCAGACAGCCTCAGTCCCACTACATGACCCAGAATTTACACATTCTGAGCAACCTTGTCTTCACCAGCATTTATCTACTCTTGTATCTCTTGTGACATCCCCACAACCAACTACTCTTGTCCAGGAGATCACGTGTCCTATCTTCCATCAACAATTACTGTCTCTGTGTGAAATGCATGTGAACATCATGCTTTGCTCACTTGTCTTGACTTCACTCTCTTGTGAAAGTTTCCAGGGCTGGGGATGAGCTCAGTGGCAAAAGTGCCTGCCTGGCAGGCATAAGGTCCTGAGTTAGAGTTTCAGTACCAAAACCAAACACCATCTCATCATGCCCCATCAGTATTGAGATGTATTATCTGTTACCATAAAAGTAAATAAGGAATAGGAAAATAGAATAAAAACAAAGATCTAGAAGAGTATTTAGGAGAATGTTTCATGATATCATGGCTTAGCAAAGACTTTGGAAGTAGGATGCAAACCACAAAAGAGAAAATTAATAAATTGGATTTCAAGGCACCTTGAATACTGCAGCACACAAGAGTGCCTCAGGTCAGAGAGGCCACAAGATCCACAGCGGAGGTCGACTTTTGCATGGGAGTTGGGTGGAGCTGGGGCAGCACAATATCTCTAGAGACTCTGGCCATTCCTTCCCTTAAACACATTCTATGACCCAAATGCCCCACTCCAGGTCCCAGGAGAAGCCAAGTCTCACCTCCCAGAACCCAGAGAGGACTCCTACCAGCCACTGATGCCTGATTGAATAAACACCTTGTGTTAGGACCACACCATTACTGCACACGCACAATCAAGGCCTCTTGTCAGGATATGGAATACATTACTACAAGCAACCAGAAATACATATAAGTATTTAAAAATAAAACAAGCAACTGACTGGAACAGGCCCTTTAAGTCAAGTTATCCAGAGGATCAAAGAAGAGCTTTAGTCATCAATATGCAAATTATATAACAGTTCCATATTCTCACATGCCTTCCTGAATGGATAAAATCATAAAAGACTGATGGCATTTCATTTTGTAAAGATATAGAATGGCTGGGATTTACAAAATTGACTAGTGGGAATTTGAATTTCTTTAGAAAGTAGTTTTTTGGCAGTAGATGCTAAACTGATCATACACCTGTTATGGACCCAGCAATTCCACATTTGGCTGTAGATGAAGAGAAATTAGAAAGTACATCCAACAAGAAAATGGACAAGAATTTTCACAGCAGCAAAATTACCCTTGTCCAGAATCTGAAACAATCTAAACCCCCATCATTGGGAAATAAAATGGATAAAAACATATTAACACAATTGTTTATAGCACAGAAGAAACCCAAAAAATGAGCTAAGCCTGCAGCATAGTACTGTGTGAAGGTATCTCATGGAGCAGAGGAGCCAAGTCTTGCGGGACCGTGGGGACAGAGGTGGTAGGGAGAAATTGGGAGAACCTGCAAGGCACCCTTAGGACTCTAAATGTCCCGAACCTAAGCTATCAACCAAATACAGGGAAGCTAAGCATCCCAAAGCATACAGTATTCCCATGCCCCTGCTTCCAAAAAAATAAAATCCAAGGCCACGCTCCTCCTAAACAAACAACGAATCCAGAAGAAGCAAGCAAGGTGTCCAGGCATCAGTAGATCCATCAGAGGGGAGAGATGAGAAGTCAAGGTCCACAGTAAGGGAAATGAGAGGTTGCATCTGTATCTTGGCCGTGGGTGGGGAGCCCCTGCAGAGATGCTCTGAAATGCAGGAGTCTAGCGGGGTGGGGGGGGGGGGGGAGTTCACAAAAAGGAAAGGAAGCTGCTCAGTTCCCTGTGGACGGAGCCCAGGGATGACATCAGCTTGTTTGTGGAGGATTTAATGACAGGTACATGGAAAACCAAACGAACAAACAAGAATGAGTCACTGTTGGCTCCATGAAGGGAGAACACAAACACCAGGTGCACAAGTAGGGAAACGAATTCTGGCTCCACTCTGCACACTCAGCCATGGTTTTATTCACTGGATAAAAACAACATCTGAGTCCCAACCTAACCAAACACTCAGGATGGAGGTGGGTGGGGGGACTCTTCATGAAGCTGGCGGTAAGCTCAGGAAAGCAGTATTCCCATAGATCCAGTCGATTTCAAGACAGAAAATTCAGGTGGTCATAGAGAGCTTGTTGTTTAGTATTTGTGACATAAACAGGGTGGATAAGAACAGTGCCCAGGAGGGACCTCTGGAGCAATTGTCCCAGGTTGGGTGCCCTGGTCAGTCAGCAGGTAGATGGTAGCAGGACTCTGGGGAGGGCAACCCATGGAGGAGGCCTCAGGTAGCAGTGACAGAGAATCACAGCAGAGGAGGAGGAGCTTCCCAGGCATACTGACTCTCCATTGTATGCTGGGTCCCCACAGACACAGCATGGAAGGGGTCACCTTCATGACACAGTGCAGCTCCCAGTATCTGGCCCCAGCCAGTACATGTGGAGTTCCTGGGCACAGTTGCAGTCCGCACTCCTGGCAAGTCATGGGGTGGAGCTACCTGGAGGTGAATCTGAGCAAGAACAAGGAAGGGGAAGGCTGAGACACCACGAGGAAAATGCCAGTAGGGGTATAAAACCCCAGATCTCCAGGCACCACACACAGCTCATACACACCCACACAGTACACTCACACTCACTCACACACACACACAAACTCTGCCTCCCTCCGAAGCTCAGCATGGCTGACACGTGCTGTACCAGGACATGTATCATTGCTGCCTCCACCATCTCTGTCTGCTCCAGTGACCTAGGGGGAGGCAGCCGGGTCTGCACACCCATTACTTGCACTGACCCCTGGCAGGTGGACAAGGGTCAAGAAAGTTGCTGTGAGCCCCCCTGCTGTGTCCCCAACTGCTGCCAGCCCAGCTGCTGTGCCCCGGCCCCCTGCCTGAGCCTGGTCTGTACCCCCTGCTGTCAATTAGGCTGCACCAGCTCCTGCACACCCACATGCTGCCAGCAGTCCAGCTGCCAGCCAGCTTGCTGCTCCTCCTCCTGCCAGCAGTCCTGCTGCACACCTGCCTGCTGCACACCCGTCTGCTGCAAGCCTGTCTGCTGCACACCCGTCTGCTGCACACCCGCCTGCTCTGGTGCTTCCTCCTCCTGCTGCCAGCAGTCTAGCTGCCAGCCAACTTGCTGCTCTTGCTCTCCCTGCCAGTCATCCTGCTGCACACCCACGTGCTGCAAGCCTGTCTGCTGTGTGCCCGTCTGCTGCAAGCCCGTCTGCTGCACGCCCTCCTGCTCCTCTGTGTCCCTGCTCTGCCACCCTGTGTGCAGACCCACCTGCTGCATTCCGGCCTCCTCCTGCTGTACCTCTTCCTGCCAACCCAGCTGCTGTCACCCGGCCTCCTGTGTGTCCTTGCTCTGCCGCCCTGCCTGCCCCCGCCCAGCCTGCTGTGGCCTCTCCTTGGGCCAGAAGTCCTGCTGCTGATTTGCTAATCAGCTTCACCCCCAAAGGGGCAGTAGGCTCAGGACCCACCTCCCTCCGCCCCTGGGTGTCCCTGACTTTCCTTCCAGCATACACAGCACAACTCAACCATAGAGTGGGACCAGACCTTCTCCTCCCTCAGCAGCTCACCTCCCGTGGGCACCTGAGGTCTTGCTGGCTCCTCCCATGCCTGTTCTTGGCCCATGGGGTGCCTTCCCCCCATCCTGGCCCTCAGCCACATCCTCCCTGGGGTAAGTGGGACCCTTAAACTCAACATTGTCACCACTGTTCCCTGAGCACCAATAAAGCCTCTGTTGGCCATGTTATCTCTCTATGTTGATGGCACAAGGGGTAGGAGTGGCAAAGGTCTGGTCCTGGCTCTGGACTCTGGCCTTCAGGCCCTTTTATATCTGCATGTGACTTGGATATGCCATCTCCTCATTCTGTGTCTGCTGTTGGCCCCTGACCAGCTCTGCTGGTCTGTAGAGACCCAGAGACAATCCGACAGCACAGACTGGCTCTGAGGAACATTTATTTCATGCAAATGATGCCACAGTGCCCAGAACCCAAGAATCATGGGGTGGCCTGGCCACAGCTGAGCTGGAGGTGGGAGACCAGGAAGATGTTAGCATCAGCTGGCCTTGTACCCCATGGAGAATTGGTGGGTGCCCTGGGTGATGGTCCATATACTCAAAGTTGCTGACATTCAGCATGCACAGGAGAAGAAGCAGCCTTTCACCCCCACCTGCAAACTGAGGTGGGGACAGGGAATGGAAGAAGTCCAAAATGGGGAGAGAACATGCCCATGGGCAGGGCATGTGTGCAGAAGTGTGTCCAGGTGCATTTCCACCAACCTGAGTGAATCTGAGGGCACTATCTCCAACTACAACGGCAGAGCAAAGGCTATGGCCAGGTGACCATTACTGCAGTCCCCAATGTGGACCTCACACTGCCCTCTCCTTGCCCTCTGAGTGGGGAACATACATCAATGTGGTCACCTTTGCCAAGGTGTCCAATTCTTCAATGAGATCTGGGTAGCATGGGGGTCACATGGGAATCTCAGTTTTGACTGTTGTGGGTGACACCCCGTGAGTGTCCTCATCATATGCCTACTGGTACAAGTGGGTCTTCTTGCTGCTGGTACTCCTACAAGTGGAATTTCCTGAGTAAGGGCTTGCCAGTTTCCATTCCTGTGTGGTGCTGACCATGCCCCCAGGAGGACTGTCCCCAGCTCAAAGTGATGCAAGAGGAAACACTGGAGGAGGGATGCCCAAGGGCCTGTCCTGCAAAAACCCACAAAAACTGGCAACAAAAAAACAAATAAACTTGGCAAATTTTGTCTGAGCTGTGGAAAACATTCCCTAGGTCAGGAGTCCCTGCTAACAGTCCATTGTCTACTAGGAGCCCTGAAACCCACATAAGGGGAGAGTGGTCTGGGGAGTGAGCTTCACCCCTGTATTCACAGCTGATCCAAAGCTCCCGTCACTCACTTCCTGAGCTCCATCTTTTTTTTTTTTTTTCAAGGAACATTTAATTTAATATCAATGTGTTAACACAAATGGTTCAAATACAATGAAGGAACACATTCCCCCATTAACACCAAAGACAACACTCTTCTAACATGTGCCTGCAGAATGGGATGAGGGTTTCATAAAGTTCACTACTGAAAAAAAATATGCAGCGAGTCTCATCACAGACAATTATCCTTATACAATCTAGGTGTGAAATGAATGTTTATAATGCTTCAAACAGCTCAAGCCTGAAGTTTGATACCACTCCTTCATGTTTCTACAGTCCTTAGTTAAAAGATTATCTATAGTTTTTGTAACCATTCAAAGAACAAACCATTGGTTAAAACCATTTTAGGCTCTATTAAGTAATCCAGAGCCCTAAGCTAAATGGTTAAAATATATGTACGAAGTCCACAGTCTTATTGGCAAACTGGTATAGAGTGTCTCTAAGTCACTGCTCAAGGTTAAGAGCAATGTGTATTCCATTTTTATATTTAACTGGAATTTTAATTCACGATTTGAAATCTCCATAGGTTCTCAATCTCCAATTGTCTGAAGACACAGTGTGCCACAGACTAAAAACTTCTGTTTTTCCCTTTATTTTCTTCAAACAGAAACATTTCTCAAGTGTCTAAATGTTCTAGAAGGGGAATTTTTCAAAGGTGGCCTCTTCTTTGGAATAGTCCAACAGCATCAGGCTTCTGAAGCAGGGGGCAGGGGAAGAGAAAAAAGCTGAAACACAAGGTTCATCTGGTAAGTTTTACATTAACCAGTACAAGCTGCATAATGTAAGAATGTGTGTGTGTGTGTGTGTGTGTGTGTGTGTGTGTGTTTTCCTCAACATCTGAGTCTTGGTATGGAAATGAGTACTTGGCTGTCCCATCACAGTTTTCTCGTAGTGGGACTGTCAGGGAAGTCTTGACTGGGGAGTATGATTTGTTTACCTATCAGGTGTAAATTTCCAGGCACTCAGTTCATTTTGAACTTGTTCCAGTTTGTCTTTAGTCTGTTCCAGTTTACCTTTCATTTTTTGGAAAAACAAGTTGATCGCTGGGTCTACCATTGTTGATCTCAGTTGGGCAACATTTGGCTTCTGGGCTTGCATGAGGTACTGAATTGGAGTAGTACACTCGGGTGTGTCTTGTTCCTTGGTTGCTAGTCACATCAGGAGGATGTTTTCTGTGTGTGCAGATTCTTGCTGTTGTTGCTTTAGCTTTTCTTCAGACTCCCTTAAGTCAGTTACATCCTTTGAGTTCAGATCCCTGTACTTGCCCTCCAAAACTTGACCATGTGCTTCATATCATTTCCATCTTAGAATTACATCATTTCTTGCCATAACTTTGAAGTCTGTTTCACTCAGCCAAACCTTTTTGGGAAGAACCTTTTTTCTTCACTGGTCATTTTTAATCCAAAGAATTCCCTACAGGGTGCAGCTGCAATTACTCTTGCCCGAAGCTAGGCTCCTGGGGGTGTAAGGCAAAGGAGGCCAGTGGCTCTGTCAGCTTAGTAGGGGCTTAATACCAGCAGTAGGATTGGATTCTCATAGGAGCAAGAACCTTACCATGAACTGTGACAAGTGTAGGTTGTGCATTCTTTGTGGGATGCTAACTCTGAACCCACTTTGTGGCCATGGAAAAATTGCCTTCCAAGAAACACATTCTTGGTGCCAAAAGGGTGAGGACCTCTGCATCACAGAGAGGGAACAGTAGAGCCAAAATAAACCAGCTGACCAAGCAGGGTCTGAGGCATTTCTGCTGTCTTCCCATACCTGCCCTAGCTGGACATGACATGAGGACAACAGTACAGGTCCTGATGTGGGGCTGGTGCCAGGCGGGAACAGGAAAACCTTATCTCCAAAGAAGCATGGCCATCTCTTGATGAGCCTGGAGTTCCCAGAAGGACCACACAGACTGCCAGACTCAGTTTCTTCTAACTCAGGCCTTGTTCACAGTGTAGAAGGAGATACACAGTGTATTGCTCAGAACACCTGAAGATGAATGTGCTCACCACCACCACCAAGAGCCAAGGGTGTCCACTGGGACAACAAGGGGACTGAAGAAGGCTGGGAGGAAAACTGATGGATGAGCTGTTTTGGGGGAATAAGATCTTTGACAGATTCTGCATATTTCAGCAAGTCTAACAAGTCACACACAGGCCCAAGAAGGGCACATGCTCAGAAAAGCAGCCCTCAGTGATCATCTGGGACTGAAACTGAAGCACTGAGCAACAAAGAAATGAAGACATGAGGAGGAAGGGGAGGAATGAGCAGGAGATGAGGTCAGAGCAGGAAGTGAAGTCAGACCAGGAAGTAGAGGCAGAGCAAGTGGTGAACAGGAAGGCAGAGGTAAACTGTCCTGCTAGAGCGGAGCATGTGCGCAACACAAAAATACAATCAGACCTTAAGGGAAAATAAACCCAGGGGAAAAATATTTTTGGATGCAATTGTGTTAGTTAGCTTTCCATCACTGAGACAAAATACCTCAGGTAAACAACTTGCGAGGAGGAAAGGTTTATGGTGGATCAGTTTCAGAAATTTCACCCCATGGTTGTCTGTCTGTTGTTTTCATCTAAAGCGAGCAAAACATTCTGGGGTGAGTGTGTGGAAGAGGAGCTGCTAACCTCAGGGCAAGTGGGAAGCAAGAAAGAAACAGGAAGGGGTTGGGGGGTCCCAATGTCCCATTCAAGGGCTCATCCAAGTGACCTGATTTCTTCCCACAAGAACTCAATTCCTAATCCCCCTCCCCCTAAACACCACAGCTTGAGGAGCAAACCTTCACACACGGCCTGTGGGGAATATTTATGACCCAAGCCATAACCACAGAGGCTAAATCTGTCAAATTAAA